GTGGGAGCATAGGCGGGTCCTGTATACTTGTCTCAGAGACATAGCATGCCTCCATGGCTAGAGATTCAAGGTTTGGCGAGTGATGCTCACTGTCCGATTAGGCATTGAGTTTGCACATCCAAAGCTCCTACATGGAATCAACGGCGGGCCCTTAGAAGATTAGGAACGAGGTTTCTGTGGCTTTGATCGTTGGGAATGGTTGCAGAGTGAGAGGTTAAATAGGACAGAAGAGGCTGAATATTAACAATAGGAGGTAAAGGAGCAGACAAGATTGAGGAGGATAGGTTACGTTTTATTGGGTCTCGTATACTATTGGAAGCGTGCGGGCTGTTGACACTTCCCGACTGCCCACACCGTGGAAGGCAATTTCTTCTTAGGCTACCTGAAAGAGAAAAAGATTTGTGTGACCAATAGAACCCATGGGATATCTAATTGAGGCCTGTCACACATAGCCTTTTGTGGGTTGTTGCTTCGAGGTTGAGCTGTTCTAACGCCAGATAGAGAGGATCCATATCGCTGGCACTGGAAGACCGTGGAGCAGGGAGGAGCATGTCATTTTAGAGGCCCACCTTTCCTCAGCCTGCTCCCTTCCTCTTAGGGAAGCAGGATCAGAGTGGCACTTCTGGTTATCCAAGGGAAACACCTTACTGATGCTACACCCCATCCAGCTAGTAGCCGTACGGCTTCGCCCTCACAGGGCAGTAATATGCACTACAACAGTAACTGCGTTTCGTTTTAGCAGACCTTTCTGGAATGGTAGGACCTGGGGGGAACAAGCGTACCGTTAGCAAAGCTCGTTGGGTCTTTGTGATATGCAAGTCAGAACACGCCATCCGTCTGGTGTTTAAGTAATATCTTGTGTGAGATCCTTAGGTCCAGAGTAATCTCACACCTTACCAGAGCTCGATAACCACTTACCCCAGTAAACCAGTCAGTATGTAGACATCAAAAAATGTGCATCGATCAAATTTCCCATCATCATCATCATCAACAAAGGACTGAGTTGCCGCAGTTCATATCAGTACATCACGTAAAAAGGCAGTGAACTGCAGGATGAAGATAAGAAAATTCAGTCAAAAGAAATACAAAATACGAAAAAATAGAAAGGAAGAATGAGAAAATGGTGAAATTCGGTATACCGTTAAGATGAGGACAATGTGTGCATACATCTGAGTCACTGACTTCGATTCTGAGCCATGTCACCTAGAGTCTCCAACCACTAGTTCCTCTTGTCTCATGGACCCCAACCACCTACTCTGCATCGCCCCACATAGCTCAATCCAACAGTCAAAGACTTCATACATTGGTGCCATGTTTTAGTCTGGCCACCTCAGGCCTTTTTCCAGCCTGTACCTACTTCAGCCAACATTGTGTGATGAGGCAGTCGGCGACTAGGCGTACGTAAAATGTGTCCCAATCATCTCAATTGATGAAGGTTCATAACCTCGTCAACAGATTTACCTACACTCCCTAAAACTCTATACCTGACGTCTGGGTCACTCACCTGGTGACACCATGGAATACGCCCTATACTACGAAGGCAATGGTGGTCAATCACCTGAAGCCTTCTCATGTCTTCCATCTCACATGGCCATGTTTCACAGCCATATAGTAGAACAGAGCGAACTGCTGTGCAGTACACACCACCCTTAATAGACAATCGGATATCAAGGCGGCATAAGTTCTCGAAAGCCAGTCACAGGGGATCGTATTCGATACCCAGATACTGGTTGACACTTACGCTAACCTGACTAAGAGCACCTCACCACCATCCTTGTGTACCTCACGAGTTAGTCCGTCTGATCCTGCCGCCCTTCCCCATTTCACGTCACCTACTGCTTTCTCGAATTCTGTAGTGTTGGGGGGCCTATCTCAATGTTCCTTCCAGGATCCGATTAGATAGCGGGCAATGCAATGGTGGCTAGAGGTCAGTTAAACTGCTCCTCGAAGTGTTCTGCCCATCGTTCCAGTCGTCTGCCCTGCGAGTGAATCGCAGGCCCGTCCTTCTCCGCTATAGCCTCACTAACTGATGTTGACCATTTCCCCCAGTCTCCTTGATAAGTCTAAATAACTGTCTACTGTTACCAATCGCCGCTGCCTTCTCCATCTCTTTAGCATTCACTCCCCACCACTGTTTGCGATCGTTGCATAGACTTTTTCTCAATCTACTCTCAAGTTGGGCTCTCTCTTCATTGTACTCAGAGCCTGCAGGGATGCGTTCACGTGCATCCATTAGTTCAGAAGAAGCTGCTCATATCCACTGGCTCTTCTTAGCCACTCTTTCGGAGTCGGCTACGGTCTTCAGCGCAGCTTTTACAACAGACTGGAGATGGCACTAAGCTTCTTCTGGATGACCGATAGTCTTTCGTTTCAATAACTGCCTAGCCAACTTCTCACTGGACACTGCCTTGGTGTCTTCGTTATCCAACAGTACTCGTAGTGGTTTTGTTGCCAATTTCTTTACGTCCATTGAGACGCAGGCATGTACACGCTCGGACCAACGTGTGGTCGCTATCCAAACACCTACTCCAGAAGGAGAGGCAGTCTTCCACCGATCCTCTCCAGCGATGACTGACACCAATGTGGTATATCTGCGTCCATCGCTGAGTTGAGCTCGGTGGACGCCACGTCAGATACTGTCTTTCTTTATGTCTGAAATTTATGCTAGCTCAAAATAGGCGATTATCTGAGCATAGTTGTAGTAGGCGATCACCGTTATCTGTACGTTCAGCCGGGACTCCGGAAGTGCCACCTAAGTGCCTTTCTGCCTCACTCAGTCTACCCACCTGTGCACTGAAGTCACCTGCAACAACCACCACGTCTGAACGTTTGGCTTTCGAGAGGAGGCTAGATAGTTTACGGTAGAACTCACCCTTCACTTCATTCGAACTACAGTCAGTGGGTGCGTAAGCACAGATTACAAAGAGACAACGGCGAGTCTCACTAGTCCTTTTAGTTCTCACTGTGCCGTTCAGTCGGATAGCGCAGGGGCGACTATCAACTGAGATCCAGTCTAGTAGTGAGCTTTCTGTCCTAGTGCTTAGTGCTATCACTACACCTGCAAGACCATGAGAGCTAGCCAACGAATCTCCAGAAATTCAAAGGGTGAATTTCGCGGACTCACCAGATTGGCCGGGAGAGGTCAGGTGAATAACCCCACTTGGGTCCTGTATGAGAGTCTCACAAACACAGCACATATTCATGGCCTGAGCTGCTAGAGTCTTGGCCAATGAAACCAGTTGACCAATTTGACGGAGGGTGCGGACATTGAAGGCTCCGGTGTGTAATTTGGAACGTAGTTTAAGGAGACCAAGGATGCTGTCCTATGGATTCAGATTGTTGTCGTAGGCTGCTTTTCGTTTTAGGAGACCTTTCTGGCATGTTAGGACCTGGACGGGACAAGAGTTCCATTAGCGAAGCTCGTTGGGTGTTTGTAACATGCGAGCCTGATCATCACGTTAAGGTAGCAGCTGTCGGTAGGAATAAAAAAGATATGAGAAGGCAATGAAGGAATATTTTCACATACACAAGTAAAAATGGATTCTATTTCAGAGATCAAGGAAAAGGGAAAGAATTCAAATTCCGGTACATCATTTTCACAAACTATTAGTGGTTGGGGTTACTTTGCTGAGTAAGAGATTCGCAAGAGTAGAGGGAACTGGATGTAATACGTTTGCTGTTTGACAAAAAGTTAGATATCTTACAAGTATGATAAATACTGTGAATGGAAAATGCCGAAACAGCCTTTCATAGTTATTCCATTAACCGGCCCATAAAAGCGGAGGTGGTTAATAGACTCAACTAGTTCACCCGCTATTTCTAAAAAAGATATCGGTGCAAACCAGCGGTGCACTGACTTCATAATTTACAGGTGTGAAAGAAAACAAAACATCCTGAGATTTTTATTTCAGCCGTTCAGAAAACCCCGTGTTTTGATAGAATCTTGGCTCACTGAAACTGACCGAACGATCTCCAGGTAATAGATTCACCAATGAATAGTTGAAGGAAAATTGATAATGTCTCTATTAGTACATCTACATTTCTTAAAAAGAATATAACCAATATATGATGCTTCTTAACATAGATTAGTTGTATATTTAACATTGCTCGTTATGTGGAGGAATGTATTCGGTCCCATATAGCGTTTACCTACCCATCTTTAAACGAATAGCAAAATAAAAACAAAACTGAAGTAAATAACGTGAAAAAACAAACCATTGAAACGTTTAAGTGATAAACCTGCTTAATTACCTGTATCCAATTTAGCGATATTACTAGGTCAGTAACAATAATAGAATAACAATCCATTTATAGACATATATCAAACTTAGTCATCAAGAACGAAACTAAGTAATTAAAATGGAATGCGCTCACCATTACTTTAGAGAATAAACGTTTACGGGATGACATAAATGACAATTTACTCGTTAGAAATGTCAAGAAATTTTTCGAGCGAAATGAACTACCATACAGTGAACCCTGATTTTCTCTGACTGCTTCATTGATAACAGTTGGCGTTCTATTCAGATGTTTAAAGAGGTAGTCTGGTATTATCAAATCGGTGTGCATGCTAACTCGACCAAAAGATAAATGAGTAACCTTCAGGTTACAATGAACTACTAATAAACTAACAGTATACATTTAGTCTTCACTAATGATTGTGAACCTATGATGCACCATTTAATGATCGAATATAACGAATAAGCAGAAAACCAGAAGGGCTATACCACATTTTCGAAGCTAACAAGGGAATGTAAACTAGGTAAGAAAGGACACTATGTTTCGATAGTTTTTTTCTTTAACAAATTCTTGAAGTTTTTAGGCAATTTCTAGAACGTTGAGAGTTTTCTAGCAGTACATTTATACGAGTAAGTACAACTCTCAAATAGGAGAGATAAAAGATTTTGTAGCCATCATTAAAACAACCGTTAAATACATCTTTTCTGAATTTAAAAGTATTAGTAGTGATGATAATAATAATTTAAGTAATGGGTTCATACCGTGATGTGCTTGGAGACACTTGACTACTAGATTTGCTAGTTGAATTATTCGTAAAACTATGACTAGAAATACTAAAATTGGAAGTTTCCATATTTTCAGCTCCGGAGATAGGTCTTTTAAATTTTTTTGACACAGAACGAGAAGCAGACAAAAGAGAAAGTTTTTCAGACACTGGCCATGTGAAGAAAATTTCATGAATTTGATTAAGTGTCCCTTGAATTTGAGCTAGCAATCTAGATTCCAGTATCAATTCTTGATCTGACAATTCAACAGGTTCATCTGATGATAAAGCTTGAGGTCCAGATACTATCCCCTGTATCGATGACTGACGTTCCAGATGTAAGGATAAGGCTAACTTAGCAGTATCCTAGAATAGATAAAAATTAGTAAACCTTAATTATCTTTTTTTAAATAACGTAATCTTATTATTCATAAAAGAAAACGACTCACATAGATACGTGAATAAATAAAGCACCACTAGCAAGTCCGTGTACCAGGATAGGAAACATACCTATTGTATGAAAGTTGATGATACTTTCCTATTGCTCAAAACTCAGTGGAAGGTGTTGAATTTTAACTTGATGAGTTGTAGTTTCAAAAGATCACTCAAGATTAGTCCTTAAAACTGAATATCCCGAGACTGACTTCATAAATAGATCTAAAGTATAGTTGCGAATATTTACTTCTTTATGAGGAACTCAGAAATGAAGGTAAAATTATTTGATGTAACTCACCCCGATACACGTAGGGCTATGAGCCACACTTGTTTTGTGACGACTTAAGACACTACCCGGTCGCCCAAGGGGAAATAGGTGGAGCGAGAATCGAACCCGAGACCCACTGATTGGAAGTCGAGTTCCTAAGCCAATCGGTCATATCTTCCAATGGAGATAAAGCTTACGATGAAGTCAGAAACCTTGTTCAAGAAGCTCAAAACTGAGAGAGCAATATGACTATCAAAATCAACTCAAAATGCAAAATCAAATTTTCGAAAATGAGAACAAGAGAGATTTGTAGAACGGAATCGACTCAAGTTTTATTCATTGGCTTCTAATCAGATACAACCAAACCCAATTTACGATAATTATGAAGCTTAACCAATCAGCCAATGCAAATTAGCGAAAATATACATCTTGATGTATGGTGGTACTCAAGACAGACATTCTCAATATAAGACTTGACACTTGTGTAACAGCCTACTTTGCTTTACTTCTCTCCAGCAGACAAATGCAAAATTCTACGACAGAGAGGAAAAACGTCAAACTTATGTAAGTAGAAATCGTAGAAAACAATATGAACGTCAGCTATTGTGTGAAGGTTAGTGATACTACCAAATACCAAACGTTTAGTTTGTCGGAAACAACCGACAGGAAGCTGTGAACCCAGATTCGTGTTTGTTAGTACTCGTAAGCAAGGCGTATCTGCAACGTAGAGGGAACTGATGTTACTTTTGAGATCCAAACCCACGTCACTCAGTATCTCATTCAACGACATTACCACTGAGCTACTCGAACTGTGACAGACCTCCTGTAGGACTGGATTATATATACTGATTGGTTATTAGTCAATGATTGGCCATATCACAAAATGATCGATAGAATCCGGTTAGCATTCAGGACTAAATAACATGTAATTGGTTGCTTCCCAGTGGTCAGCAAGTGTAAACCACGAACGGATTTAAGATTCATTAAGTTGCTAGTCGAGTTTATGACGAATGAAATGAAAAAAAAAACAAAAATTGCCGGAATAAAAACTATTGAGTAGAAGAGAAAACACAGTCCTATTCAAATGCAGTACTTATCGATGTATGACTAAGCCAAGAAAAGGAAATTGTAGTGATAAAATTAAAGGAGGAGAATGTAATAGAAGTATCAACTGACAGGATTTCGATTAAGGTAAGAGTATCTTGGAAATATAAATGATGAAACTGGCAAAATGAATGGAAGTTACAGTATTTAAAAGAAGTGTATTGGAATTGAGAGACGTAGATTGATGGAAAACCTAGAATGAAATGAGTTTCACAAAGTGAGGTACATTTCTCAATCAATGTGACATTGGTTATTTATTTTCCTATTCAGAAACTTTGCTATTTGATAATACATACATGAGAATGTTTCGAATGCATCTTTTATGAGACTTTTAAAAGCTGTTCATTAGTCACTTCAGATTCTTCTCCAACCGATGCATACATCAATTCCAATTACTGAATTGCATTTATCAGTGTATTTCCTGTTATTCTTATTTCAGACTGCATAGCTAGAAACGGGATCAGGTAATTCAGTGAATTCATCGTACTCTGTAAATGTTGTTCTTCTTGATTTGTTATCAACCCTCATTGGCTACAGTTTTCTGCATTTTGATTTGACCTACAAACAGTTTACAATATATCATTCTTGTAACTTAAAGATACATTGGTGTTCAATCAAGATAGAAAGTAAATCCATTCCTATTTCTTATGTAAGTAACATCATTCCAGTTTAAAAACTTGTTGGCTTAATAACTGAATAATTGCATCCCTTAAGCCAGCAACAATTCAGTATACAAGTAAGAAAGTCACAATCAAGTCCAGAAGTACCAAATATCAAAATTCACAGAACTTAAATTATGATATCGCAAAGAGCATCGAAGGTTCTCATGCAGTGGGAACCAATCATCTCAACGATCAGGATCATGACAGCAAGATAGATTCAACTCAAAAGGAAGGAAAGTCACAATCATACAATGCTACGCTACGCACCTACAAATAATGCAGATCAAGAGGAGAAGGAGGAATTCTACAGACAACTACAATCAGCACTGGACAAGACTCCAGTTGGTGACATCAAAATTCTAATGAGCGACATGAATGCTAAACGCGGAGCAGACAACACAAGAAGAGAACTCATCCTAGGTCGAGAAGCACTCGGTAAAATGAATGAGAATGCAGAACTGTTTGCAGATTTCTGCGCACTCAACAATTTGGTGATTGGAGGTGAGGCAGTGTGTACAAACACAAGGATATTCAGAAGGCAGCGACATGGACTTCACCAGACACCAGGACACACTGAAAATCAAATCGACTTCATCTCAATCTGAAGAAAGTGGAGACACAGCCTACTGGACACAAGATCAGATAAAGAAGAGGAGCAGATGTAGGTTCGGATCACTATCTAGTGCAAGGAACCTTCCAAATCAAGTTGAAAGCCTTCACAGAAGTTAGTGATAGACCACAGTTCAAGTTGAACACCCAGAACAGAAACTGGAGGACGAAACTACAAAGAACATCTTCACGTCAGTCATCAGGGTAAAATGGGAGATATCGAGCCACATTCATGAAGAAACCTGCTTGGAAGAACACTGGAACTCTTTGGAAGCTATGTGGAAAGAAACCTGCATGACTGTATTAGGAAGGAAAAGGAAACAAGACAAGGAATGGATCTCAACGGATACATGGAAGCTGATGGAGCAGGAAGAGGAAGATGGTGAAGCAGAAGATGAACCAATGTAGTGCAGGGATGCACAACGAAAAGAAGAACTGAGTACAACGTATAAAACACTGGACAAAGAAGTGAAGAACAGTGCACGCAAAGACAAAACACACTTCTACGACACATTGACAGGCGAAGCAGAACAGGCTGCAGGTAGGAGAGACAGAGACATGACAACACTATATCAAATGACCAGGTTACTATCTGGGAAGAGATCAACACAGCACAGGTGAAACCAATGAAAGGTAGTGAAGGAAAGCTAGTTACCAAAGAGGAGGAACAAAGGAAACGATGGGCTGACCATTTCAAAAAAACTCTTGCATCGATCACCACCTGTAACTCGTCCGGAAATACCACCAGCAACGGCAGAACTATCAGTGAACACAGGCCCTCCGAACAAAGCAGAAGTGAAGTCCTGAATGCCATAAAGCTGCTGAACTCCGGGAAAGCAGCAGGACCAGATGGAATTCCTCCAGAAGCACTGAGAACAGGTGCAGAGACAACAGCAGACATGCTCACACCACTATTGCAGAAGGTTTAGAAGGAAGGCAGGAAAGTCACCTGCCAGTTGACTGGAAGAAGGACTACCTTGTCAAAATCCCAAAAAAGGGAGACCTTAGCCTTGGCAAGAACTGACGCGGAATCATGCTGCTGTCTCTGTCCACCCCAAGCAAAATATTAAGCCGTATCATTCTGGAGAAACTAAAGGATGCGCTGGATTCAAAATTACTACCGGAACAGGCTGGCTGGCTGGCTGGCTGGCTGGCTCTAGGACAAACAAATCATGTGCGGATCTAATTGCAACGCAACTCTACGCATCATCATAGAACAGAGTGTAGAATGGCAGTCAACCGGATCTTTACCTCAACTTCATCGACTTTGAAAAGGCCTTCGACAGCGTTAACCGAGAAGTAATTTGGCAGTTGCTTCAACACTACGGAGTACCACTAGTCTTTCAGAACCTCATTCAACAACTATACGAAGACGCCACATGCCAAGTGACCTACAATAGAGAGCTCAGTGACGCCTCCGAAGTGAAGACAGGAGTAAGACGAGGTTGCCACCTACTATCACCGATGATCTTTCTGACTGTGGTCGACGGGATCATGCAAAAAACGGTGAGGAGCGAGAAGAGGGGTATACGCTGGCTGGACCGATGAAAAGACCCCAGAAGAAGATTTAGATTTCGCCGATGATTTATGTGTAATATCACACGAACTCGAAGATCGACAGGCGAAAGCTAACAAGTTGGCAGAAGAGGCAGGACAGGGAAAACTGGACTTCCTTCACGTGAACGTAGAGAAGACAGGTGATGAAAATACCCAACCAACAACAGCAACAAGCACTAATCACCATGAACGGGAGAAATCTAAAGGAAGTTGTCTCTTTCACCTACTTAGGCAGCATCGTTTCAACTACAGGCGGAGGTGGCGGTACAGATGAGGATGTCAAAGCAAGGATTGGAAAGACACCAGGACAGGCCTTTATTAATCTGAAACCATTGCGGAGATCTACGGCATAAAGAACAAGATCCGTATTTTTAACACTATCAAGTCGGTGCTTCTATGCGATGGTTCAGAAATTTGGCGCGTTACGAAAAGCATTTCCAACAAACTACAGACATTCATCAACAGCTGCCTACGCTCGTTGTTGAAGATCAGATGGCCGAAATAATAAGAATAAGCAACAAGGAACTGTGGCTGGCGCCGCAAAGAACCAACCAAGAACCTATCGCCCAGCAAATATGCTGAAGAAAGTGAGGATGGATTGTATTGGACATGCAGTGAGAAAACCGTTTGAGGACATCACGCGCCAGGCCAGGTCCTCTAGTGGAACCCGAATGGGAAACGACGAGTTGGGCGTCCGAGGGTGATATGGAGGAGATCGTGTAAGGAAGAAGTGAAAGCTTATGGGCAGTCGTGGAGTCAGGTTAAAAAGACTGCAGAGAAAAGAGTGAAATGGCGACGTGTTACCGTTCCACTGGGAACCCAAAGGACAAATAATAATATATAATGAGTCAATACAAACTACCTAATAATCAAGTACAACTTGACACTACGTTGGTAACCAATTACCACCACACAAAAACAGAGATGAAGTGTAATTTAAACAAATAAGACTGAGACAGGAGTTTCAAAACCGATGGAGTGAGAATTATATGAATATTGTCATATGCACCAGACAATATTAATTGACTTCAACAACGAAATTAGGTATTAATAACTGGAACACCATTCGGACTAATTTAAGAAGGCAATATCATACAGGAATGAGAAATGAAAACAGCCGTCATACTTACTTTCACAGTGCGTATCAGATCGCAAACTTTATGGGTAGCAAGCAACTGTCTAGTGAGTCGACCACGAAATATAGCTGACAACAGTGTAAAACCACGAGAAACTCGTGAATCTTCAAGCTGTATATAAAAAACAGGTGCGTAAGCAGATTATTTATGTTAATTTTCACCTGGACAATAAGACTAACAAAGAAAGTGAACACAAACAAAAAGTAATATTGAAAAACTTTTAATATTTTGCGATGAAAGTGAATGCGAAATGTTATTCGACAGCCATTTGCAGGCTTTCATAGTAGACAATGAGTGACACCTAATCTGTGATAAGTGTTTATGCTACAAACTTATCAGCTGTGTCATCAAATTAAGAAAACCGACACATTCTAAAACAATCCCGCAACTAAGGGTCACTAAATTACGTATGATACGAAAAGTGTCGATGACTGACTATACTCAGCGTGGAGGCTCCCATAATTACACTTTTTTTAAACATAAAATAAGTGAAGTAAAAAAGATTTAAAAATTTACATACATGAACACATTTTTCTTCGTTGTTTGCAGAAGCACTCAGTATTAGAAAGTCTATGGAAAAGTTCAAGTTGCAGCATGCAAAGTGCTAATGCGTAGAAAATGAGTGGTTTCAAAGTAGAAAGAAGTTTATAGAAGAAAGAATTTGGAAATAAAAGTAAGTGGAAATCTTGAAATATTAAATGGTGCCAAAAGATGAAAACGTGCCACATTGACTGATTATCAGAAATATCATTAAGGGTATCCAACGCTTGATTCCTATCCTCTCGAGAAATCCAAGCAGATACACCTTTACCAACGGATTTAAGTTTTCATTCAAGCGAAAAGAACAGGGCTCGTAAAATAAAGCGAACCCATATTTCTTTCAGTTTATCCTCAGTTGCAATCAGTTTCACATTATCAGTGGTGAATTCTCCATGTCACAAATTGGCCTGTTCGTTAGCAGAGAACCTTACATTTCCCCGCAACATACAATTAGCACATAATTTGAAAGACACTTTTCATTTAGTAATACGATAAAATAAGCAGATGTATTAGTGCTATACATTTCGAACAATCTGATCACACATTTACTTGTTAAGGCAATTTATATATGAAAACTGGAAGTGGGGGAAGGACACATATGACATAAAGGAATTCCCCCACTTCCAGTTTTCATATATAAATTGCCTTAACAAGTAAATGTGTGATCAGACTTTTCATTTAATAAAAGCTGAGAAACTTGAATATTTCGATCAATTTCATTTTTTTTTCGATATATCCCTCCTATCCAACAATATTCCAGCCGATGAAACTTTTGAGAGCATTTATAGACAATGTGAATAGCTTTCTCGGCGTGAAGAAGGCCTCAAACAACTTTTATCCTTGTATACGAAAGATATTCAATTAGTTCATAAGTTCAATCATACATCATTTTGTTGATTTATGACTAAGTGTAGGTGTATTTATAGCCTTTAATGCAATAAATAGACAGAGAATGTTTCTGTTACTTCCGTTTGCAGAATCGAAATTAATCCAACTCATTAAACTTAACCTATGGGTCGAGAAAGGGATAATGATTAATTTAGCATTACCTTTGTAAACATCTGTTTGTCTCTACTATTGGATCCCCTACTTTGTGTTTTCTTATTCATCCCTTCTGTTTTACTACTTATTTCACACATCTTATGTTCTATAACACTCATCTGTTACTTCTATAAAGAGTACGTGATTATTTGTACTAGGTGATGATTGAAGGTGAGATGGGAACTTGGACCGCGGCAGGATTCGAACCGGCGACCACAGGGTTACCGGCTCGGTGCTCAATCAACTGAGCTACGAGGTTTGACTGCTGACCAGAATTTTATTTCACTGCACTATTCTATTTCACTATCTTAGATAGTCAAATCATAATCAGTATGATGCCCCCCTCTCTAATTCAGTTAGATTTGGACTGGGATGAGAAGTCTTGACTAGGCAGCCAGTGTAAATACGATCAAGCAGTAGTAATGTGTTACGAATTCACATAGTAGTTGGGCAAAACCCTTGGTGATTGAAGTGAAATAAAATTCTGGTCAGCAGTCGGACCTCGTAGCTCAGTTGGTAGAGCACCGGGCCCGTAACCCGGTGGTCGCTGGTTCGAACCCGGCTGCAGTCCAGATTTTTATCTCACTTCCAATCATCACCCAGTGCAAATACTAGTCTGCCAAACCACGGCTATCTTAGATAGTCAGATCATACGTGATTACTATTTATCAGTTTGACTATCTGAGAAGGCCAGGATTTGGCAGACTTGGATTGATACTGGGTGATGATTGAAGGTGAAATGAAAATCTGGGATGTAGCAGAACCCGGACCACTGACCTTCTTGTTATCGGCCAGGTGACCTAACAAGTGAGTTACGAGACTCAGCTTCTGACCAGATCTTCATTATTAACATTTCTATTGTTATTACAATGATTATTTTGTCACCATTACCAATTTTTACACCCACTGTTAAAACTCTGTGATCATTCACACCGTTACGTCTTTCAGCTGATTTTGCCCGTTGTATCTACACCACCCAATGCACATGGTTATTACTTTGTTATACAATAAAAATGATTTTCTTGTTCCACGCCATACTAATTCCACATTTATTCTAGGCTGTTTGCACTAGAAGAAAGGTCGCAAAATAAACATTAGTTCAATTTATTCTCCGGAACTTGTCCTTCTAGCTCTGGTAAAATGACCAAGGGAGCATATTCTATGGCCTGCCCTGTATACATTCTACTTTTAGCGCTCCCAGAAGTTAATGTGATAACCGTTTTGAAAATGTGCAAGTCACAACATTTTAAACTCAATAGTTGATCAGTAAAAATCCAGGCATAGGGGGCATTAGAGCACATTGCACACTGTCAGCTTGCCGATTAACATAGAGTTGGCTAAAACAAACTTGCTGATCACTCGAATCAACGTATAGTTCAATAAAGCAATGTAAACCGGTCTATTTTGACATCTGCTGAATAAAGTGGGTGATAACCAAAGCCTTAATAAACACGGAGTAAAGAAATATTGAGATTTTGTCAGTCAGTCACTGATTCCTCTCACTAGTCAATGCAATTGATTCACCATATCCTATGGGCATAATATAAATGAACTATGCTAAGATTCAGAGGAGTGAACTACTAATAAGCAATAATCTAACCACCAAGGTAATCAACAATAGAGAAAAATCATATATAATCTAACCGTCAAATAAAAAATATCACATAACCATGCGGTCACGGGTCAACTCATTAGAATAGCAAACAAAACACCTGTTTAGTAACAAGTCATTCAATAACATTTACGTTCATTAAAACACTTTATTTTAGGTTGCATGACTCAAAATCGATCAAATTAGTTTAGATGTACCCAGTTTTTAGTTTTCTCTGAATCTTGGATATCCACTTTACTACTTTATACCGAATGTCAGCCGTTCACTTAAACATTGGTAATTTAATAAGTTTCTAATTCTAACGATCAATGCATTTGACTACTTTTCAAGGGAGTGCTCAACGTTTACTCCCCTTAAAAATTTACACAGATTAAGTTGTCTGAGACGAGGAGAAAAACCTCAGTGATCAATGGGTAATGCCATTCAATTCAGAACATCGCAGTTACAAATATCCAATGAAATTCCAGAAAGTAAAACAACCTTGAGTAAAATAAGGTTTTAGGAGAAAGCTGAAATTTGGAAGTAGGACATGAATACAAATAGCTTGCTATGAATACGCGTATAACGATTGTAAAACATACCAAACATGCTACTTTTCTTTCAGATAACGGACATGTTTGTCGATTTCCACATGGACACATAATTGGGCAAACTTTCATCGCACTGATTGGTGTAATATCAGATTTCTGAAAATGCAGTAAAAAGTAGAGTTAAAGAATTTTTCTCAAACTCAGCAATCTTATATGCTCTGAATGAAGAATAACACTGCACAAGTGAGGAATGAATGATTAATCGTCAGTAACTCACCTCGATGGTCAAGTATATTCTTCGCACCTTTTAATTTACTGCTAAAGCACACATTCAAAGTCATATCCAGTAAATCCTTTATCTCACATCTAATAATAGCAAATATTACGAATGATATGGACATAAACTCCCTAGTGTTTGTGGAATTTACTTAGATTAACTAGTGTTAACGTCACTCGTCACAATAAAATATGACGATAATTGTAACAACACAGTAAACATAAAAAATATCTAATGACAAAGCCCATTACTCTGAATTGAATTGCATCCAGAATAAGAGTAGAATAATCACAACATATGTAGTAACAAGAAGAAACAGAGTAGAGTAACAGAAAGCAGAGTTCAAATAACGCACAACCCGAACAAAAATGCCTTCTACGAAAGTCCCTACGCACCACCGAAGGATTAAAAGCGAAAATGAGTAGAACATGAGTGGTTTCAGAGAAGAAAAAAGGGTATAGGTATAGGAGAAGAAAGGAACAGGATATAAAAGTTAATCGAAATACTGAAACATTAGATGACGTCAAAAAGTGGATTTATCTGGGCAACCACGACCGATTATCAAAACAGTTATCAAGAGAATCCAACACTTGACTTTTATCGTCTCACAAATACCAACCAGGTAGTCTACCTCTCTAAACATGTCTCAAAACAACGGTCAGAGAATTCATGGTATGAGACCTCTTCGTTTGACCATAATTATATTACCGCTGACTCAATCACATTACAGTTAAAATCGCACTTCCAGGCAGACGGCGGTTAGACATATAAAACATATATACAAGTCATCCACATCGATGAAAGTACGCAAACACACATCCAGAAAGTAACTTCATTCATGGAATCCAACTCGTCAAAAACACAGACGCAGTTTACACAATAATGACACAAATAGCGAGCAGAGGATCCAAAACTAACAACGCTAAAAAAAAAAGCGAAATCTTCATGTAGGCCATATTCAAGTGCTAAAAACATCACATTTGTGGCTCCATATCTAAAAGGATAATGTCATTTACGCACTCTAAGACAATCAGGTGGTCTCCTACGAGTTACTCAACCCTGTAAAGTTGCAGGTAACCATGGCTAAGTTCGTTAGTACGCGAATAACAAGATTATACAACAAACGTTAAAACGGAAATCCTTGAGAGACACCACTAATTATCGTCATTTCAGATGAAAATCCCCATAAGCCCTCACACGGCTTCCTGGGTGCGATTAGCACTACATAATTGCGCGATACTACCTTCACGGTTAGACAATGAAACACCAACACTCTGTCGAAACAGCCGAATGACACCTTCACATCAAGAAATACAGCAAGTGCACCCTCGAATAGGTCCGTAATCTGTCTGGTTTCCATCATTCTCCTCTTCCAGAGGACTGGTTAGGCTCCAGATAACTATAGACATTAGGATCTCAGACACCATATTCGTCAAACTAATTCAACTATGGTTGTCACACAAGAACTTCTCTCCTTTCTTAAAAACTGGGATGATCAGTGATTTAGACCGACCTGGCGCACTAAATTCCGATCCTCATACACTACCTAGTAACTCCTTTACCCTACTCTGTAATTTTCTACCTCCATCCGCAGAAACTTGTGGTGGCAAAGCATCAGGTTCTATTGCTTTGCATTGTTTCAGGTCTCAAGCAGCCTTCTCAACTTCGAGCAGAGTTGGAGGGCCAAAATTTACTTACGTCTTATTTAAGTTCCAGTTATATACTGGGTAAATGAAGTGCGGTTATAGGCCAGTTGAACTATTCTTCAAAGTGTCCCACCCAACGTCCGAGTCGCCAGTCCAGTGAGGCTATCACATATACATCCTTTTCGGAGACGGCCTCGTTATTCCACATCTTCTTAGTGAAGTCGTTTTTAATAAGCCCTAATAACTGTTGAGTATTATCCAATGCTGGTACCTTCTCCATATACTCCCCTTCCAACATCAAACACTACTCGCTATGAATACCAAAACTATCAGTCAACTTACGTTTCGGCTGTTTTCCCCCTCATTGTGGTCAGAGTCAGTTGGAATAAGACTTCATGCATCCATCATTTCCGATGAAGGTGAAGAAATCCACTGCCTTTTGCTAACCCTTAGTTGTAGGTTGCTGACTGTCTTCATCGCTGTTTCTACAGAAGACTGAATATGATGCCACGCTACACATCAGGAAGAGAACTACTGCGATTTTCAGATCAAGGCTTCACTATTTCTTCGATTAATACTGACTTCATATTCTTTTTTCACAGTCAAGCACATACACACTTCACTGCTGCTTGCTTCCATGTTTATTAAGGCACACGTACTAACGTGTACTCGGAGTCTAAACATATACTCCAAAAATCGACAATGATGCATCGATCATCTCTAATGACGGCTAATAGCGAGATGGCCTATTTTTGACCATATTTCGCCTGAATGAAATCGGAAATGAAACATGAAATCACAAATCTAGTTTTAAGAGACTGGTAACAGAGTCTGATTGGCTTGGAACTCTAGTAATGCTTGCATGGTGAGAGGTTGAAGAAACTGTAAGGGGTCGTCTGTTGTTAGAATTAGGAAGTGAAGGCATGGAAGGAGACAAAAGTTAGGAAAGCATGCAATGGCTAGTTGGATTTTGCACACTGTTGTACAACAAATTACAAACCTTTTCTACTAAACCTTGCCTTCCAGTCATTAGACAATTCCGTTTTCTTTCGTCATGTACTACGGTGATGTCAGTCGCAATTATTGGGAAATATAATTACTTTCTACATGCTTGCTGTGCTGTTGGTCTACATTTTTATCATTCCTTTCCTTCTCATGCGGATGATGGATAGCAACTACATCTTGACGATGGAATATTATAAGCTATGTGATTTAGCTCTTTTGTTTAGAATCTCATTCTAGTTTTATGAATTATCACAGAAATATTGTGCGGCTAACTGATTTTACACTTCTTCTCAAAGATGCCTTAACTGGACGTTAGACAAAAACCAACTAATCACTGAAATTTACACGATTCGGGAAACCAGATGGTGAAACTAACCACTACATAATAATTGTGATTTGTAACCATGTATATGAAGATGAAACAAGATACCAAGCCAACCTACGTTTGAGTTGCTGAACTAAAACGGTAGAGGGAAAAACAAAAACTGTTAGGATAATAACTACTTACCTCTGACCCACAAAGATGCGACATAGAACCAGCCAGTGAAACTCCAATACTTGACATTTTTACGGTATTTAAATCTGAACAGTGTGAATAGTCATCTAGAACGACAGTCTCTTGAGATATGGATGGAAAATGTAACGATGGTGATGTGCTGTGACAGATTAAACTAGTACAACTCCCAGTAGAATGAGCCACAGAATAGGCTGACATTAAACCAATACGCTGATTAGTACGATGTAATTCTCGCCGGCGACGGTTCTGAATAACTGTATCAGTAGACTAGAAAGCAAAAGTGTTGAGTGCTGAAATGCACATCCGAAAAATCTACCAACAAAAGAATGTCATCAAAACGAACAACCTTCAAAAGATTTATATGCTAACTGGATGGTTTCATATATTTTGAAATCTTCAGTACTCATTTTCACCAACGTCTGATAAAAATTAAGAATAGGCTACACTGCGAATTCTTACCATTTCTGTTCATACGCTTCAGATAATACAAGTCAGTTAGTATTGCTGGACCTGACATTACTACGTAACGGTTCAAGTTGCCTCACTTCATATCAGCACGTTAAGAAAGTGCCAACATAAAAGATAGAGAAATAAGCAAGTAATTAAAGGTAATAGGAAGTAGTAAAAATAGAACTAGAAGTGAGTCAATAACGAAATTCGGCATGAAGATTGAGACGAAAATAATGGGTTTGTATCCATCTGCCATAATATGATCGATTCTGAGTAAGGTTGCTCAGGATCTTCAACGACAAATTTCAGTCTACATTCCCTTAAACAGCTTAGACCGACACTCAATGACTTCATTGACTCATGGCATGTTTTAGTCGGACCCCTGCTAACTTTTTTCTAGCCTAAACACATTTCAGAGAACATTGAATTAGGTAGATGGGGATTAGGCATGCGTAATACATGTGCCAACCATCTGAGTTGATGAGATTTTAAAACGCATAAACTGACTTTTGTTTTATTCCAACGATTCTGCATATTGTCTATCAGTGATGATAAATGTCAGAGCATAGAAATGCAAATAAAATATAGAGATATTCATTCGTATAAAACGGAATATTCCAGCGAATTTACCTGTTGAAAGCTCAGAAGCTTTTAAAAGAGCAACCAACAAACAAATAATGGATAGTAGTTGTGATATCGACAACTCTAAGTTGTCAACAAATAAATAAGGTCAAATTTATTGCGTTTTGCTGCAACGATGAAAAACTCAAACCCAACTTATGTTTTCAGAAAAGATATTGATAACGTACAATCACCAGGCAAAAAGTTTGTGAACTTTTCTCAAATCACATCTTATCCTTTGAAATCCAGTTCAACTTTTGTTGACTTTTCAGCTGCCTCTCCTTCTGTTCTTGAAGTGTCTTTATTCTACCATTAATAAAACTGAAAGATGCTATGAAGTTTATTTTCCATGGACTAACCTTCCGAAACAAAAGCTTCTAAATCCATATGAAGGTTAAAATTACGTATCACAACAACTCAGCCAACTACGCTGGCTACGAAAAATGCTCCTTGAAGATATATCAGGTCAGAAATGTCATCTGGATAAAGGCGCGAATAAAATCAGTTACAGTATGAAAGAGGGGTCGATGATGAATTTTTGCTGCCAGCTGGTAGGTTAGTGAAAGTGGTAAGGAATTTCCTGTGGATCATCAACGGTACCATTCTAATGTTGCCTTCCACAAGGAAGATCGATAAAGTCAACATCAAACTGGGAAATACTGTGATATGCCCCAAGTTGCCACATCTGATATCAGCAAATCAAGTGAGGATACATAAAAGTGAGAAATAGAGAAATACGGAAGAAATTAATCAAAAGCTACAGAAAGTCTTTGAAAGGGAGCAACGAGGAGTGAGGAAACAGTGAAACTCAGTATGATGACGGGTAGAAAAAGTGTGCGAATACATTTGCACAAATCAGAGCGATTCTGAGCTATATCACTTAGAATCTCTGAATACTGGTTTCTGCTGTCACATGGAGCTGTGACCCATTGTCTTAGGTAGATGACCTCAGACCATTAGGTAACTGGTTCGAAAAATGTCCCTATTACCGAGGTTTGCGCAGCCGGGAAGTATCATGAGCTCTTATACAATAAGTGTGATTCATTGCCTACTGAATGTGTGTGCACAAGGTTGTCAAGTGCGCTTCGCTTTTCGTTTTTCTGTCAAACGAACCCTGATTGGGAAGTCTGCATTTCATTAAACGGCTCAGATCAATGATCAGGGACTTCATGTAATGATGCCACGTTGTAGTCTGGTCGCCTCGAGCCCTTTTCAAACCGAACCTACTTTAGGCAACATTTTGCAACGAGGCAGACGGTAACTAAGCTTGTGCAACACATGTCGCAGCCAACTCGGTTGATGGTTTATAGCCTCGAAGTCAAATGCTGTCCTTCAGTCGAGAAAAACACCTCACCTCGTGTGTTGATAAATGTCCTTCTGTTCCACTACCTGGCAGATGGTAAATATCTGGTCAACACACCCAGAACCAGGTCTGAAACCTGTCTAGCTTCTTCGGTGGTTGGACGTACTGGATGATATGGCTCACAATCGAACTTCATGAAGCAAATGTAACTCTACACTCATTTCCTCGTGAATATTATACTGAATTTGACTACTGCTATTCTTCTCAGAGATCTGGTTTGAAAACTGTCAACACTGTTCACCGCTTTCTCCGTGAGTTCTTTCTCTTTCACTCCAGAGCAATCTCACCCGATTTGTCGCAACAAGGTGTAGTAACGCAGACAATTACGTAGAAATGCTAGCTCCCATGCAAATAAACTCAATTTCTTCATGTCCTCTAAATTTAGCTGAAAATAATCTGCATTTTGCGGCTTCACATCTAAAAGGATAATGTCATTTACGCACTCTAAGACAATCAGGTGGTCTCCTACGAGTTACTCAACCCTGTAAAGTTGCAGGTAACCATGGCTAAGTTCGTTAGTACGCGAATAACAAGATTATACAACAAACGTTAAAACGGAAATCCTTGAGAGACACCACTAATTATCGTCATTTCAGATGAAAATCCCCATAAGCCCTCACACGGCTTCCTGGGTGCGATTAGCACTACATAATTGCGCGATACTACCTTCACGGTTAGACAATGAAACACCAACACTCTGTCGAAACAGCCGAATGACACCTTCACATCAAGAAATACAGCAAGTGCACCCTCGAATAGGTCCGTAATCTGTCTGGTTTCCATCATTCTCCTCTTCCAGAGGACTGGTTAGGCTCCAGATAACTATAGACATTAGGATCTCAGACACCATATTCGTCAAACTAATTCAACTATGGTTGTCACACAAGAACTTCTCTCCTTTCTTAAAAACTGGGATGATCAGTGATTTAGACCGACCTGGCGCACTAAATTCCGATCCTCATACACTACCTAGTAACTCCTTTACCCTACTCTGTAATTTTCTACCTCCATCCGCAGAAACTTGTGGTGGCAAAGCATCAGGTTCTATTGCTTTGCATTGTTTCAGGTCTCAAGCAGCCTTCTCAACTTCGAGCAGAGTTGGAGGGCCAAAATTTACTTACGTCTTATTTAAGTTCCAGTTATATACTGGGTAAATGAAGTGCGGTTATAGGCCAGTTGAACTATTCTTCAAAGTGTCCCACCCAACGTCCGAGTCGCCAGTCCAGTGAGGCTATCACATATACATCCTTTTCGGAGACGGCCTCGTTATTCCACATCTTCTTAGTGAAGTCGTTTTTAATAAGCCCTAATAACTGTTGAGTATTATCCAATGCTGGTACCTTCTCCATATACTCCCCTTCCAACATCAAACACTACTCGCTATGAATACCAAAACTATCAGTCAACTTACGTTTCGGCTGTTTTCCCCCCTCATTGTGGTCAGAGTCAGTTGGAATAAGACTTCATGCATCCATCATTTCCGATGAAGGTGAAGAAATCCACTGCCTTTTGCTAACCCTTAGTTGTAGGTTGCTGACTGTCTTCATCGCTGTTTCTACAGAAGACTGAATATGATGCCATGCTTCATGTCAGTAAGTGAACTTTTTTACGTCATCAATACTACGAATGGTTTGTCATAATAGTCATGACAATATTGGTTTTAGGAAAATTCTGTACATTTGGAAACGTAAGGATACGGGTTAGCTTTAAAGTATTCGGTTAAGAGTACTGGAGGAATGCGCGTAGAATCTTAGCTGTGTACTGGGAGCAATTTTTGCATAATCACTCAGTAACACAAGGTGTCTTGATGGGGATATAGGGTTACCATACAAGAAGGTTACCGCTCATTTGTGTTTCACCGCTCCGTGATTTATTTGTAGTGAAACAACCCGATAGTATATATGAAATTATTTTATTCATAATACTCGTAAATGACGTGTCACGTCCTGCGTTCTGTGATGACGATGACTATTTCAACATTCTATGAGAAAGAGATATACTCTATAATATCGGGTTTTTCCCTCTCGCACAAAATAGACATCAAGAAATGCATCCAACAAGACAACATAAAATTAAGAAGAAAAGGTTGGTCATGAAATGACAAGCAGTCATGTAAAGTACATTTAAACGGATTTTGAGATATCATCAGTCGATGGTTGGATACTGCTTGTGATGTAGCTCAAAACTGATCAAAGCGACGCAGGTGTATTCACTCTTAAATACCTTCACCACCGTTAACATCTGCGCTAACCTTCGCTTTTTCTCTCTATTCTCTGTTGCATTTTTTAATCACACTTTCCTTTTTATTTGTTGCGGCTGCATGATTTTATTGTCGGCGACAAAAGAAGACTACAATGCATTTGTCTAGCTTAAAATATTGTTATTGTTCTTTGAAATTTTGTACTACTTATTGGTAAGCAAAAACATAATAACTTTCACTTTCATGATTTTAGAAACCATTTGTCATCTCTTCTGCAGTTTCCATAAAACACATATCTTCTTCACAGACTGGGTAAGCAGGCAATCAAGTTCAGTAAGCTAGATCTGTGTGAATTTTCCACATCTCACTTAAGATGTCAGCTAATCTGAATATCATGAATATGGGAATAGATATATCCATATCTATTCATTCATCTTCAGGATTCGTTTTTCAAGATCTCTGCTACAAGGAAATGTTTCATATTATCAATGGCTAATTTCGACGGTCATCGATATTTCTAAATTTATAGGACCAGAAGTTACAATTAGTATTCATCATAGACAGTAAAACAGAAGTATTCCACTTAAAAAATATTTAGATAATCTGCAAAAAAAAGAGTATTTCATCACTCACAGGATGTAAAACCTACAAGTGAAGGATTTATAGACTGACAGTGAGGCTGAAGTCTGATTGTATCACTGCTTCAGCTTTGAGTATCGCGTGGAGACTCATTACGGTCAGGTGTACACTGCTTTCCAAAAACAGACAAACAGATATCACTTCGTAAAGCGGACCAAGTTGCATTCCAATTATAATGAGAGTGAGGCATATAGGTAGTGTTCAATTGTAATGTATTGCCTAGTGGAGTATTTCTCAGAAACCCACCTTTAAATGACTAGTAAAAACATTGGTTAGATTTTCTTGTACTTGACAAGAATTTGATTCCGTGACCAGATTCCAGGCCCAATGACTATGATGATGAAATGTCAAAAGGATGAAAATTAATGATTTTAGAATAATTCAGTCAGTAACAAATAGGCATTTTTAAAGGAATGTGTAACCCAGTACCTGAATACAAAATGCGTTAGTTTAGGATAGCAAATGAAGGCAAAAAGAAATGCCTATAAAATTACACTTTATTCGGGTACTATGACTTCAACTTTAGATTTTACTTGAAGATTTTCACCTACTGCTGACATGAACCATTTTCATATAGTACTTATTTCATGCTCTACTCCACTTTGTCAGAAATATTTTCAACTTTGGGAATCTAAATGAAAGGCGACCAGTCATCAGTCAAGAAATCGTAGTACATATTTTCATTTGACACATAATAATCAATTCTCTTTTGTATTTATGCATATACAAAGAGATGTCTATTACACGATAAAAGTAAAAGATTTATTCTCATAAATTTAGGAATTCAAATCCTGATACTAATATTCACAGAAAAATTGGGTACGGGAGGTACTATCTTGTGACAATATACAAAATCCTGGTTTTTACCAAGTTTAAAATGAAACAAATAGTTCAGCGAAGGATATCCTTTCCAACTAATTTATTTTCAAAAGCTGTACAAAATGAATTAATTTCTCAATTACATTAAAAACAAATTTGTTCTCTCAGCTCAATATATAAGGCTTTGAAAGTATTTTGAAACTATTTACAACACACAAGTCACAGATCAACTGAATTATATGGGTACTTCTTTCCAGTATACTCACAGAAATTCTAACCACTAGGTCATAGGTTAAAACCACTTCATTGTTGATCTAGGTAATCAGCTAATTTAGATGTTAATGAACAAAAAGGTTACATCACACGAAATCAACAGCTGCTTTCTCCCCTGGTTGTGAACCTTCATCGCCTGAGGTGGCTTAGGCATGTGTCGTGCATGCCGATCCACCACTACCTCGAAGTGCGATCCTAGGGAAAGTTGGATTAAGTTGAAAAAAGGTTTAGAATGGTCATACCAAGACGTGGCACCAGTCCATGAAGTCCCTGATTGTTGGTCTGAGTCGTAATAGCTAGATAATGTTTCGGAATAATCAGAGGTAATGAGTCGTGTGTAAACAAACACGTCATATTACTACAGAGAAAAAATTAGGCAAATGCTTAACACAGCACGAATAGAACCTACCCAGGCCTTGTTAGGAAACACCAAACTTAACTGGCCGATAACACTGCCTCCCAATCATTATTATTGGCACATAAACATGGTACAGCAAGGGCATCAAGAAATGCACCACATAAAACAATGTAACAACATCATGAACACAGAAATTGAAGGAAAGTGGATATCTATCATTGTTATTACAACACAAACATGGTAGTATAATAACAATATAAAGACATAAATGATGGGAAGTAGATAAGTAAGAAAGAAAAACAATAAGAAGAATAGCATGATTAGAAGGGCACTTCAAACATTACTTTCCAGCAGCATAGGATAGAAGAAAGCTACAACATGACCACCATTTTCAATTCTGAGTCATATCTGATAACGCCTCAAGCCACTGAGTTGCCTGATCTCTCGGACCCCATCCAGACAGTCGTGATGCACCAACACATGCTAACCCGATACGACTATCCTTCATACCACCACGCCACTTCATACACTGACCACCCACCCATCCACCCAGCCGCTTCTTCTATACAGTCTCAGGGCTACTAAACAATGAAGGGTATACAAGCCGTTGGAATGACATGCATAACACATGTCCAAGTTGGTGTTTCCAGATGACTCCACTTATTGAATGACGATCTCCATCATGCTCAAACATACTCTGTCATAACCTCAGAAGTACTTACAAGGTCTTGCCACCGGATACGAGCAATCTTACGGAGACAACGACGATCGAACACACAAAGTCGTCCCACATCCTCAGCTCAGGGAGGCCAGCTTTCACAGGAGTACAGAAGAACTCCTCGCACCAAAGCGTTGTAAACGCAAACGTCTACGGTCAGACAAACGTCGTGATTGTGCCAAAGGCGACCCAGATTGGCATATACCATTCTGGCTTTCCATATGCGGTTGGAAACTTCATCACACAACTACCCAGATACACGAACCTTTCGACTACTTCCAACGTCCACCACCAAGGTTGAGTGCAGACACAAGCTCCTGCTAATCTTGCAAACCACTTTGCATTTCGATGGTGCAAGGCACATACCACACTAGTCGACAACTGATTAAGTGAGGTTTGAGTAGACTGCATGTTGTCGTACAGTAGGATGATATCGTCCTCATACTCAAGGTCGAATAGCCGTTCTTCGAGCAGTAGATCTATACCACCATCACGCACCTTCAGACCTGTCTCAGGAATGTCATCGGTGGAAAAATTAAAGAGAAGTGGAGAAATCAAACAACCTTGTCTAACCCCACTGCTGGTTTCGAATAATAGAGACAGGTGGTTGTATGCCTTCATTCTACCTGAGGTGTTATGATATGGGGTTTTCAAGATGTTAACCAACTTCTCAGGCACCCACCTCTTTAACAGACATTCCCAGAATACAGCTTTGCTTAACGAATCGAAGGCAGCCCCAATGTCAAGAAATACAACGATCGTTGGCCTGCAATACGCCTGCCGATGTTCAAGCGTCTGGTGGAGGGTAAACACACATGGTCAATGCATCCACGACCTGAACGAAACCAACCTGCTCCTCACCAATCATTTACTCACGCGTTTCGCAAAATCTGACCAGTACGACAGTAGCTAGTATTTTCGACGCGACTGGTAACAGACTAATACCCCAATGATTGTCACATTCATTACGTAGACTCTTTTTATAGATGAACACATCAATGGCTTCATTTCAGAGTGATGGAACACTCTCTGCCTGCAATACCTTTTCAAACAATCTAGTCAGTTCCTTGACTAGAGTCGTTCCTCCGTCCTTAAAAAAGTTGACGGTGGGTTGTTTGGGCAGGGTGCCTTGTGGTGTTTCAGAACTCGGGGTTCCGTATGAACCTCCACTTCGTTAGGTGGGTAACGTTAACTGACCATGGAGCACGATACACTGAAACTGAAGATGCTGGAGATGTGGGTCAGCTCAACTGCTTTTCAAGCTGCTACGCTCAGCGTTCAGGGCGTCTTTGAAGACTGTTTTTGTCGGCGTACCATCTACCTCACAGACCTTCTCACTGACACCTGGCTTCTTGCTGCCAGTGGCTCGGATGACCTGGAACAGCTTCCAACCGTTGTCAGATGTAGCTGAAGCTTTCATCTCACTCGCGCGTTCTGACCACCAAACTCACAGTCTTTGCATAAGCGTTGTGTAGTCTTTGCGTAAGAAACTTGCGCGAACCACTATACTAGCTATCTGCCGGAATCGTCTGATGGGCGTCAAGAAGTTTCAGGGAGCTCGTAGACACCTGTTGTTTATTAGCAGGACGTTCTTCCAAGCCGCAAGCAGCTTTACTCACCCATTTTAACGGCGTCTTGCAAGTGCAGTCAATGCTCGTCTACACCTACTGGAGGATAGGGAGCCAGCCTTAAATCTAGCTCGGACTGGTATTCAGCTGCAATGTTAGGTACAACTAATTTGCTTACATCAACCTGTCTAGGATGATGACTTGGATGACCACCAAAAAGTGAGACGAGCTTAGCGCACACTAAAGCATGATCAGAGTCCAGACAAGTACTCCATATGGAGCGGGAGTCCTGTGTCTACTCACTCTATCGGTAGCTGATTTCAATATGATCTATTTGAGTCCATGCTTGGGTGTCAGAGGGACGAGGCCAAGTAGCAGAACGGCGATGGCTGTGCTGGGAGGTGTTGCTGGTTAGAAATAGTTTATGATCTATACAAAGCTGCATAAGACGATCATCACTGTCCGACCTGCTGCCAATTAGACGCCATCAGCCACCTTAATTACTACTTAGTCACCAAGATTACCATCTGTAGCTTATTAAACGAGTTTCATCAGTTTTTTTAGGACTAAACGAGATTGCTCAATAATTGAGAAAAGAAATGCCAAAAGCAGTTGCATGAGACTGAATGTAGGACACGTGTTAGATACAGATACGTGTCAGATACATACGATATTCAATGTCTTCGCTAAGTACTGAAGACAAGTATAGCCAACAAAAGTAGAAAAACTATTGTTCATTCACTTGGAAAGTTTTCATAATTGGTGTTATCTCAGTTAGTAGGAACAGTTGCGACTGCACACATTAAATGCGTGACATAAGTGTATTGCAACTAGTCTACAGTGTTGTGTTTATACTCTAATAGTCATCTGAAAGTTGGGCATTCTATTGTGTACTGAATTAATGATAAAATAACCACAAATAGAGAGAGTTCTAGCAACAGATCACTAATAGATTTTGAGATGAGATGTACATCGAAGATTCGCAAGACTAAAGAGTGTGTTATTTTAAAAACACTATGTTCTGATTATTGACTTTTACGATGAAATTCAAAAATCGAAAAAGTTAGCATAGAAAGCTGATCATAGCTTTGGCACTTATTGATGCACCAGTGCAAAGTATGATAAATTGTAATCACTAGCAATTACGCTGAAATATTCTAATTTTTACATTTTTTTGTGAATCTTAAAACCTAAACGATAAACAAGCACTTAAAAAATGTCTCCATAATAATACACAATTGTATTCAATTATCGGATTGCATCAGTCAGTATCTTATCACTCAAAGGTTGTAAGGTAACTGATAAAAACAGTGCTTTGAATATTAAATTGCAAACTGACCTTCAGTGTTCTGCTTAGTTCTTCTGTTTGTTTTGAGATCACACCAAGCAACACAGAGGAGTCAACAGATTTTGAACTGGGAGTCTAAAATATGAAATTCAGAATTGACATAACGTCAAACTAAGTAGGTTGAACAGCAAGGACAGTTATTTTAGCCCTACAGAGAATTATTCAACATTCATATTTTACAAGATAACACGCTGATGGCAGCAACCGATGAAGTACTACAGAACATCACGACTTCTGCGAAAATGAAATGTTTAATTTTGTTCGAACGATAAAGAATCTAGCCCACTAATAGATAAGTATTTTACTGAAGAGAACTGCTGCCATTTCCAGATAAAGGCTTCACTATCTCCGTTGTCATTGAGAAAGCTGTATGGAACCTGAAACGATGGAAAGTAGCAGGATCTGGCAGGTTGCCAACCAGGTTTTCAAGGATGGAGGTAAGAAATTGACGGAGGTACTGCGTAGTTTACATGAATCAGAGGTAATGTCATCAGACTGGTCTACTTCACTGGTTATCCCAATCTATCGGAAGAAGTTTTCTTCTGACAACCATAGGGGAGTTAATTTGACTAATATTGTGTCCGGGATCCTATAGTCTACAGTTATCCAATGCCTAAATGGAGTCCGAGAACAGCAAACTCAAGACGACCAGGTAGGTTTCAGAACTGGTCGAGGGTGCATTGATCAGAATTTCACCCTCTGAGAGGTTATGGAACACAGGCATACTTACCGACAAGTGATCGACACTTTCCATATTCGTTAACCTGAAGGCGGAATTCAACTCTCTCAACCGTGAGGTGATGTGGCAGTGTCTAACTGTGAAGGGAGTATACAGCAAGCATATAAAGCTTATCAAAGCTCTCTACTCAAATCCACTTAGTTGTGTTAGGGCTCATGGTGAATTTTCATGTGAATTGACGTCAACTAATGGTGCTCACCAGGGATATCCACTGTTACCGTTACTATTTAACTTCATCATAGGCGTACTAATGGACATAACTTTAGTTACGTCTGACTTTACAGGGATTGAACTGGTCTCTGGAAGTCATTTGGTGGATTTAGAGTATACTGATGATATTGTCCCGCTAGGTGAAGGCGGTGACAAAACGCAGGGTCTTCTGAAAGCATTGTGCCGAAATTTAGATATGTTCGGCATGCATTTTACTGATACCTATCGAATACAGGATGATGCTGCATGACTGGTTCACTCCAATAACTCCCAGTTTAATGACAGGGGAGTGAAGTGTTGAAATGTGTTGACCACTTTACTTCGGAGAGTTGTATCAGCTTGAACAGGTTAGTTGCTGATGAAATCTCAGCTTGGATACAGAAAGCCTGTTTGGTACTTGCCAACTTGCATCACCTCTAGAGCCAATGACTATGAGACGTGGCCGTTGAAAGTAGAATACATAAAGCAATCACAGATGCCTTCATAGCATTGTTCGGGTTTGGTGGAATCCCTGTGTGAGCAATGTTGAGGTCAGACGATGAGTACTAGGGAACAAACGAGAGTCGGTGATGAGGTTGTGGACCTTCATCGACCGAGGTGCTTTGGACATACATTCCACATGCCGATCCATCACCTACCTAAATGTGCGATGGCTAGGGGAAGCTGGATGAGTTTGAAAGAGGGTTCAGCGTGGCCATACCAAGACGTAGCACCGTACAACGGAATCCGTGACCGTCTGTCTGAGACGTGTAGGGAGGTAGATTTAGACTAATTGATTGGGGTCCCTGGGACGCAAGGAATCATTGGTTGAGGACTTTTGGCGACGCAGCCGGAAATCGGTCATAATGGTGCAGATGTATTCACTCGTTGACGTCTTCTGAAGCTTGAATATTTGCGCTAACCTTTGTCTTCAAATTGCTTATTCTCTCACATAACTTTCTCTGCTTTGATATCACCCTTATTTTAACCACTTGTTCTCTGTATGATACTGTGAAACGTGGTAACTGAAGCCGAGGCACTTTTGCGCGAGGTTCTAGGTTGATTTCGTCTGTCTAGAGTGGGTTGACAGTCAAATAGGCGCTGTTCGACTAAATGTCATAGAGAGGACTAAAAAGAAGAGTGAAAATTGTCGTTGTCTCTTTGTAATCTCTGCTTACCGACGTTCTGGCTGAAGTTCGGAAGAAGTGAAGGATGAGTTCTAGCAAAGTGTCTAGCCTCCTACTGGAAGTCAAACGTTCAGACGTGGTTGTTGTTGCAGGTGATTTCAATGCACAAGTGGGTAGGCCAAGTCCAGCAGAAAAGCAGTTATGTGGCAATTTCGGAATCCCAGTCGAACGAATAGATAACGGCAATCGTGTGCTACGACTACGTTCAGACAACAACCCATTTGTGACCAGCATTTGCTTCAGATATGAAGAGAAACACTGCCTGAAGTGGCGTCCACCAACCTGAATTCAACGGTGGACGCAAATAAGTAAACCGCTATCAGTTACCGCTAGAGAGGGTCGGTGGAAGATTACAACCCCTTCTGCAGCACGTATTTGGACAGTGACCACGAGTTGGTTCGAGAATAGGTATGTATACGCCTAAATAGATTTGACAAACTACAGCAATAAGACAATTGCAAATGTAGATTGCCGATGAGAATACTAAGGCAGATCTCAGTAAAAAATTGGCCTGATAGTTGTCAGAACAGAACAATGTTACCCATTTAGAAGCCAGTCGTCATCTCATCTGTTGTAAAAATAGCGTAGTTGGCTATCGGAGAGTGGTTAGAAAGGCCCAGTACATCTCAGCAGATTCTTATGAATTAGTGGATCCACACGATCAGAAACCTGCAGGTCTCAAGTACAATGAGGAGCGGAATCAACTCAAATGCAGGTTGACAAAAAGTCTATGTAATGATCACGAACAGGAGTGGGCAGTAAAGCCATATGAGTGTGATTCAGTTGACCAATTACGTTTTGCGTTTTTTGTCAACAGTGAATTCAAAGGGCTACGAAGGCGATGGAAATCACTTACGAATTTACTCTAATGACTTACTGGATCCAGAAATGAACGTAAAGCGTTAATATCCTGCCCACAAGCTTTCCTTTCTTCCTCAAGCGGTCGCCTCCATGTCACTCTCGCCTCAGACGCCCAAATCGTTGTTTCCCATCTGGGTTCCACTCGAGGGCCTGGAGCTCAATGTCCCCAATCGGTCTTCTCAGTGTATGACTGATCCATCTCCACTTCCTTCTGCATATTTGTTGGGCGATAGCTTTTTCGTTGTTTCGTTGCCAGCCAGAGTTCCTTAATGCTTATTCTTATTACTTCGGCCATCTGCTCTTCAACAACGAGCGTAGGCAGCTGTTGACGAATGTCTGCAGTTTGTTGGAAATGCTTTTCGTGACACGCCAAGTTTCTCAACCATATAGCAGCACTGACTTAACATTGGTGTTGAAAATCTGGATCTTGTTCTTTATGCTGAGTAGACCTCCACACTGATTTCAGATTAGCGAAAGCCTGTCCTGCTTTGACATCCTAGTCTGTGCCGCCTGTAGTTGAAACGATACTGCCTAAGTAGGTGAAAGAGACAACTTCCTTTAGATTTCTCCCGTTCATGGTGATTAGTGCTTGTAAGTTTTCGCCTGTCGATCTTCGAGTTCGTGTGATATTACACATAAATCATCGGCGAAATCTAAATCTTCTTCTGGGGTCTTTTCATCGGTCCAGCCAGCGTATACCCCTCTTCTCGCTCCTCACCGTTTTTTGCATGATCCCGTCGACCACAGTCAGAAAGATCATCGGTGATAGTAGGTGGCAACCTCGTCTTACTCCTGTCTTCACTTCGGAGGCGTCACTGAGCTCTCTATTGTAGGTCACTTGGCATGTGGCGTCTTCGTATAGTTGTTGAATGAGGTTCTGAAAGACTAGTGGTACTCCGTAGTGTTGAAGCAACTGCCAAATTACTTCTCGGTTAACGCTGTCGAAGGCCTTTTCAAAGTCGATGAAGTTGAGGTAAAAATCCGGTTGACTGCCATTCTACACTCTGTTCTATGATGATGCGTAGAGTTGCGTTGCAATTAGATCCGCACATGATTTGTTTGTCCTAGAGCCAGCCAGCCAGCCAGCCTGTTCCGGTAGTAATTTTGAATCCAGCGCATCCTTTAGTTTCTCCAGAATGATACGGCTTAATATTTTGCTTGGGGTGGACAGAGACAGCAGCATGATTCCGCGTCAGTTCTTGCCAAGGCTAAGGTCTCCCTTTTTTGGGATTTTGACAAGGTAGTCCTTCTTCCAGTCAACTGGCAGGTGACTTTCCTGCCTTCCTTCTAAACCTTCTGCAATAGTGGTGTGAGCATGTCTGCTGTTGTCTCTGCACCTGTTCTCAGTGCTTCTGGAGGAATTCCATCTGGTCCTGCTGCTTTCCCGGAGTTCAGCAGCTTTATGGCATTCAGGACTTCACTTCTGCTTTGTTCGGAGGGCCTGTGTTCACTGATAGTTCTGCCGTTGCTGGTGGTATTTCCGGACGAGTTACAGGTGGTGATCGATGCAAGAGTTTTTTGAAATGGTCAGCCCATCGTTTCCTTTGTTCCTCCTCTTTGGTAACTAGCTTTCCTTCACTACCTTTCATTGGTTTCACCTGTGCTGTGTTGATCTCTTCCCAGATAGTAACCTGGTCATTTGATATAGTGTTGTCATGTCTCTGTCTCTCCTACCTGCAGCCTGTTCTGCTTCGCCTGTCAATGTGTCGTAGAAGTGTGTTTTGTCTTTGCGTGCACTGTTCTTCACTTCTTTGTCCAGTGTTTTATACGTTGTACTCAGTTCTTCTTTTCGTTGTGCATCCCTGCACTACATTGGTTCATCTTCTGCTTCACCATCTTCCTCTTCCTGCTCCATCAGCTTCCATGTATCCGTTGAGATCCATTCCTTGTCTTGTTTCCTTTTCCTTCCTAATACAGTCATGCAGGTTTCTTTCCACATAGCTTCCAAAGAGTTCCAGTGTTCTTCCAAGCAGGTTTCTTCATGAATGTGGCTCGATATCTCCCATTTTACCCTGATGACTGACGTGAAGATGTTCTTTGTAGTTTCGTCCTCCAGTTTCTGTTCTGGGTGTTCAACTTGAACTGTGGTCTATCACTAA